GGAGCTCCGTGTGGGGCCACGAAACGTGTGAGGGGTATGCCGACATGGGTGTGCGTGACGCATGCGGGCGGTGGCACTGGGGCCTTCGGTGGAGTTCTCTGTGGGGCCACGAAACATGTGAGAGGGGTGTGCGGGAACGGGTGTGCGTGGCGCGTGCGGGCGGTGGCACTGGGGCCTTCGGTGGAGCTCTCTGTGGGGTTGCGAAACATGTGACAGGGGTGTGCCGAAATGGGTGTGCGTGGCGCGCGCGGGCGGTGGCACTGGGGCCTTCGGTGGAGTTCCCTATGGGGCCACGAAGCGTGCAAGGGGTGTACCGAAATGGGTGTGGGTGACGCATGCGGGCGGTGGCGCTGGGGCCTTCGGTGGAACTCCCTGTGGGGCCCCGAAACGTGTGAGTGGTGTGCCGGAATAGGCGTGCGTGACGCATGCGGGCGGTGGCACGGGGGCTTTCGATGGAGCTCCCTATGGGGCCACCAAGCGTGTGAGGGGTGTGCCAACATGGGTGTGCGTGACGCATGCGGGCGGTAGCACTGGGGCCTTCGGTGGAGCTCCCTATGGGGCCACGAAGCGTGTGAGGGGTGTGCGGACATGGGTCTGCGTGACGCATGCGGGAAGTAGCACTTGGGCGTTCGGTGAAGCTCCCTGTGGGGCCACGGAACTTGTGAGGGGTGTGCCAAAGTGAGGGGGGTGGCGGGAGGAGGGAGGCGGGGGGGAGGAGGAGGAGAGGATGAGAGGCACGCGGGGGCCGTGTCTTCAAAACGACGACCCAACACCACAGGATGGTTGGGGAGAAATTCGCTTGGCGAAGGACCCAACCATATGCAGTTGCGAATACCGTCGTTGTATGCACCGCATTCGGAGGAGCCCCCTGTAGGGCCACGAAACGTGTGAGGGGTCCACTGGGGCCGTCGGTCGAAATCCCTGTGTGGCCACGAAGTGCGTGAGCGCATGCGAGCGCATGCGGTGAGCGCATGCGAGCGCATGCCAGTGGGGCCGTCGGTGGAGCTCTCTATGGTGCCGCGGAGCCTGCGACGGGTGAGCCGGAATGGGTGCGGTGGGCGCATGCGAAGTAGCCGCTGGCGCCTTCGGTGGAACTCCCTGTGGGGCCACGAAGCATGTGAAGGGTGTGCCGGAATGGGCGTGGGTGACGCATGTGGGCGGTGGCACTGGGGCCTTCGGTGGGGCTCCATAAAGGGGGCCACGAAACGTGTGAGGGGTGTGCCGAAATGGGTCTGCGTGACGCATGCGAGCGGTGGCAGTGGGACATTCGGTGGAGCTCCCTGTGGGGCCACCAAACGTGTAAGTCATGGATGTGCGTGGCGCATGCGGGCGGTGGCACTAGGGCTTTCGGTGGAACCCCCTATGGGGCCACGGCGCGTGTGAGGGGTGTGCTGAAATCTGCGTGCGTGACGCATGCTGGCGGTGGCACTGGGGCCTTCGGTGGAGCCCCCTATGGGGCCACGGCGCGTGTGAGGGGTGTGCTGAAATCTGCGTGCGTGACGCATGCTGGCAGTGGCACTGGGGCCTTCGGTGGGGCTCCCTATGGGGCCACGAAACATGTGAGAGGGGTGTGCCGACATGTGTGTGCGTGACGCATGCGGGCGGTGGCGCTGGGTCCTTCGGTGGAGCTCCATAGAAGGGGGGCACGAAACGTGTGAGGGGTGTGCCGACATGGGTCTGCGTGACGCATGCGAGCGGTGGCAGTGGGACATTCGGTGGAGCTCACCATCGGGCCACGAAGCGTGTGAGGGGCGTGCCAAAGTGGAGGGGGTGAGGGGAGGAAGGGGGAGGCGGGGGGGAGGAATGAATGAATGAAAGAATGAAGGAGGTAACGCGGGGACCGTATCTTCAAAACGAGGACCCAACACGACAGGATGGTTGAGAAAACCACATCAAATTAGCCTGGCGAAGGACCCAACCGTCGTTGTATGCACCGCATATGGAGGAGCTCCCTATGGGGCCATGGAACGTGTGAGGGGTGTGCCAAAACTTGTCCAGTGGGCGCATGCGAATGCAGCCACTGGCGCCTTCGGTGGAGCTCATTATGAGGCCACGAAGCGCGTGAGGGGTGTGCCGGAATGGGCGTGAGTGACGCATGCGGGCGGTGGCACCAGGTCCTTCGTTGGAGCTCCCTATGGGGCCACGAAGCCTGTGAGGGGTGTGACGAAATGGGTGTGGGTGACGCATGCCGGTGGTGGCACTGGGGCCTTCTGTGGTGCTCCCAATGGGGCCACGAAACGTGTGAGGGGTGTGCCGACATGGGTGTGGGTGACGCATGCCGGCGGTGGCACTGGGGCCTTCGTTGGGACTCCCTATAGGGCCTCGAAACGTGTGAGGGGTGTGCCGAAGTGGGTGTGGGTGACGCATGCGGGCGGTGGCATTGGGGCCTTCGTTGGAGCTCCCTATAGGGCCACGAAACGTGTGAAGGGCGTGCCGAAGTGGGTGTGGGTGACGCATGCGGGCGGTGGCACTGTGGTCTTTGGTGGAACTCCCTATAGGGCCACGAAGCGTGTGAGGGGTGTGTCGACATGGGTGTGGGTGACGCATGCGGGCGGTTGCACTGGGGCCTTCGGTGGGGCTCCCTCCCTATGGGTGTGACGAAACGAATGTGGGTGACGTATGCGTGCGTTTGCACTGGGGCCTTCGGTGGAGCTCCCTACGAGGCCACCAAACATGTGAGGGGTGTGTCGGAATGGGTGTGGGTGACGCATGCGGGCGGTGGCACTGGGGTCTTCGGTGGAGATCCTCATGGGGCCACGAAGCCGAAATGGGTGTGGGTGACGCATGCCGGCGGTGGCACTGGGGCCTTCGTTGGAGCTCCCTATGGGGCCACGAAGCGAGTGAGGGGTGTGCCGAAATGTGTGTGGGTGACGACGCATGCCGGCGGTGGCGCTGGGGCCTTCGGTGGAGCTCCCTGTGGGGCCACGAAACATGCGACGGGTGTGCCGAAATGGGTGTGCGTGGCGCATGCGGGTGGTTGCACTGGAGCCTTCGGAGGAGCTCCCTATGGGGCCACGAAGCGCTGAACTGGGTGGGTGAAACGCCGGGAGGAGGGAGGAGGGGGAGGAGGAGGAGCGAGGAGGAAGGAAGGAGGGAGGGAAGCAGGGAACGCGGAGACCGTCTCTTCAAAAAATGACCCAACACCACAGGATGGTTGGGACAACCATTCAAACATAATCCAACAATAATCGGAAATCGTCCCCAGACTACTGTTTGACTACTGCTGAATACTCCTCCTGTAGAGGGACATGCCCGACTTAAGCCTTCCAGCTAGGCGAGGCGACGAGGAAGCGGGAAGGTGCTCCTTCCTCCCTCCTCGTCCCTCCTACTCGGGAAGAAGGAACAACACATACACATCGGTCGGAAGATGTAGGTAGAAACATGACGTAGGAAGGCGTTGAACATAGTCATATTGGCTTCCATCCGCCCCCTTCAGAAAGACGGAGGAGGTGGAGCCACTCGATCAGTGAAGTTGGAAAGCGCTTGAAGTATATTGGAGCATGGGAATCCAAAAATACCTAGTTTCAACGACCGATGGGTACCTTCATGAGAAGCACCCCGACGAGCGAGGCCGCTCCGAAAAAGCGCACCCAAGGAAGGAATCGAACGGGGTGAGGCTGCTCAGTAAACGCCCAGGGCCGTTGGGCAAACGCCATGGTCGATGTGGCTGTTCCTCCCTTGCCTCCTGGCCGTTCTATCCAAGGGGAGGGGGGGCCCTCTTGCGGGCCACGGGCTGTCTTTCGCCCTCCACACGGGCGCGTCGGACGTCGCCTTACGACGGGGGGCAACAGGAGCGCACAACTTCGCGCACTTGCGCTGCGCGAAGCGCGAATAACTTCGCGCTCTCGCGCCGCCCCCCATGGGAGAAAGGGAGGATGAAAATGACTCGGAGCCGAACCGCGAAGCGGGAGGCGCGAATGATCAACTTCGCGCCCCTGGAGCGCCCTTGTTGACGGTCCCCCGGGCCCAGCGAGAGCCCCCAGAGGCCGAAAAGGCGAAAAACCAAACCTCCCGTCCTGCTTTGTTTGCCCGTCGCTCGCTTTGGGGGGGGGGGGGGGGCGATTAATTCAGGGTGGGGGGGAAAGGTAAACTTTGCAGGCCCTAAAGGCCTCCTTTTGGGCCTCCTTTTGGGCCCCTTGAGAGGCCCCGAAAGGGCATCTTTCCTGCAGCCCTCGCTGCCCCCGCGTTGCCCCTCCCATGCTCTGAGATCCGACGTGGCGACAACATGGCAGCATC